GGAAAATTTTGTAATTATTTTAAATATCGAAACAAAAAAACCCCCCAAATACAAATCGATTTTAGAAACAAATTTTTCCGTTGTTACCCAGGCCTACTGAACAGCTCTCACAGTTAGAAAGTTCTTCCTAATGCTCAGGTGGCAGCTCCTTTCCTGTAGTTTGAAGCCATTGTTCTGCGTCGTAGTCTCCAAGGCAGCAGAAAACAAGCTCCTCCCTATGATTTCCCCTCACATATTTATACATGGCCATCATATCTTCTCTCAGCCTTCTCTTCTGCAGGCGAAACATGCCTTGCCTAGCTCTTTAAGCCATTCCTCATAGGGCTTGTTCTCCAGACCCTTGATCATTTTAGTCGCCCTTCTCTGGACACTTTCCAGCTTGTCAACATCTCCCTTCAATTGCTGTGCCCAGAATTGGATGCACTATTCCTGGTGCTGTCTAACCCTGCCAGAATAGAGGGGTAGCATGATTTCCCTGGATCTAGACACTATACTCCTATTTATATATAAAATCCCATTAGATTTTTTAGCTGCTGCATGATATTGTTGCCTCATGTTTAACTTGTTTTCCATGAGGACTCCAGATGCAGGATGGAAGCTCTTTCTTGGAGGGCAGAACTGTGAGCAAGGAGCGCCATATCTGTCCTGCTTTCTCCTCCTTCAGGTTTGCTGCCTTGCCTTGCTGACAAATAATAATAACATTCCTCTCAGTTCTGAAGTATTTAGGAATCAATGTGGCATCTTGTTTTGACAGAGTAGGATCCAATCATTTTGTCTGATTTTTAAAAGAACTCTTACAATTATATTCCTTACATTGTCAAGTGTTTACTGACACTTCTAAGTATTCCAGTGTATTTTGAGGAATCAAAATACTTCACATACAAAAGAGTGTTTCTATGCGCAGAATCTGATGTGTTCCAAACAATTAGAGCCAGAAACACAAGATGCACTGCAATTAAAATACAGTAAGGTAAAATATATATTTCTTGTATTATAGGGTACACGTTGAGCATCCTTTCAGACTTCAAAATACTGAAATATTCCAAAATCAAAAGTGGACTACATGCAGGCCTGTAGCGAGGGGGTGGTTTTAGGGGTTCAACCCCCCCCCGAAATGTTTCAGATTTTTTAAAAAAACCTGGTTTACTCATGAATTTTAACTGGTTAACCAAATCCCCAATGCTAAGTCTATGAGATGCAAAAAATTAAGAGTGCCTCCAGAACTGCAAGCACTATCTCAAGCAAATATTGACAATTTATTCACACTGTCATTACTTGCAGCAATAGCGGATGTAGTGAAGCAACCAAGTTGGGGGTGGGTGGGTGTTGAATGCTCTCATTAAGGAGGCCAGACTTGGTGGAGGTGGTTGACAGGGGCGGAGCTGCAGGCTATTGAAGGCTGCTCTGCCCCCTGCTGTGCTCTTTGCTTCAGCGTGAGCTAGGAGGCAGGTTTCCACCCCCCCCCCGCGAAATTTTCCCACCCCCCCCCCCCCCAAAATTTCAATCCCTTCCAAAAAATATTTCTGGCTACGGCCCTGACTAGTCCACTTTTGATTTTGGAATATTTCCAAAACTGTACCTTTTCTTTCTGATGGTTCCATGTATATAGACTTTGCTTCATACAAGAAATTATTTAAAATCCTGTGTATGAAATCCCATTTAGGCTATATGGCATAAGGTGTATATGAAACATAACTGATTTTCAGCTTAGACTTGGGTCCCAAGATATCTCATCGGGTACATGCAAGTATTCACAGAAGTAAAATCATAGAGTTAGGCAAAATTAAAAAAAAACATCCAAGTCCAACCTCAATCTGTCACACAGGAAAATACAATTAAAGCTCCCAAAATATAGGCATCCAGCCTCTGCTTATAACTGCAGAGAAGGAGACTTGCTATGCTCTCAAGTAGCATATTTCAGTGTCAAACAGCTCTTACCGTCAGGATGTTCTTACTAATGTTTGGGTGGATTCTCTTTTACTGTCATTTGAATCCATTGTTCTGTATCCTAGTCCTTGCACCAACAGAAAACAAATTTGTTCTCTCCTCAATATGAAATCCTTTCAAATATTTCAACATGGCTATTATGTCCCTTCTTAACTTTCTCTTCTCTAAACATACCCAGCTCCCTAGGCAGTACCTCATAAGTATGAGGCAGTACCTCATAAGGCATAATACCCAGACCTGTTTCCATTTCGTTCGCCCTCCCCTGGACACATTCATATGGCTGACTTCTCCTCTCATGCTTTATTTTTTGAAACAGCCATCTTTCTTCTCTTTACCTTTTCTTTGGTGCCTTTGTTTTCCATTTCCAGCTTAGGCTGCAACTTTAAACCTGCCTTCAAGCTCTAAAATTAATTGGATTTGTATAAGCTGAAAGGCATTTCAGAATCGGTCTTTGTATTGTTTTGCTTCCCAGTTCACACCAAGGGCAAATTCAGGACAGTTTTACCAAGGTCAAAGAATGGAGAGCATCTGTGCCTTGAAGGAATCCTGTGAAACTTCCAGGATAATATCAAAGGTGAATGATGGATTGTGTATTATATATTCCCAAGTTAGAAGTTAATAAGCTTTAGAGTGAGTGAGAGATATCAGCAGAGAAGAGATAATATAAGCAGTCCTCATTCAGCCTCTCCTTTTCCCTTTGATGCTGATACATGCAAGTTAGTGCTCTGCAGGTTACCTAGAATGTACAGAAAGATAAAGCACAAGTCAATTGTGTGCTGTTACATAATGCTCAGCCCCCATGTTCGAGCATACAAAATGGTCTGCCATGTTGTTCCTGCAAATTCTTGGTGGTACCAGTTCAGATTTTCATGATGCTGGGCAGAGATTTACAAGGAAGCAGATATTTTCATAGTTCAGCCTTGGATATATTCCAGATTAAGTTGCAAGAGAACAGGATACTTTGGACCTTCATTCCTTATAGTTCCTGTACTTCAGACCAAGCTTATCAGACTCAGGATATAAATCCTCCATTATTTCATATTTGCATGCAAGGATAAATAATTACTATAAGTTTTGTTTCCCTATTGCAGGAGAAAATAATTATTTTTCTGCAGTATTTTCTCAGTATTTGAAAATTCCAAAGTGTTCTGGGGGATTTTTCTTCATGGAAAAACAACATGGGGCTTTTTTTAAAAGCACAATTATTGTTTCACCTCTTTCAATGTAAATAAAATATCTCTTTTTATGTTTAATAAAAATTCAATAAAAGATAAATTCTTATCAAATGTAGAACAAGTATCTTCTCCACACTAAAGACTTGTGTTACATACATAACAATTCTCCAAAATATTTATTATTTATTTATTTACGGCAATTGTAGCCCGCCTTTCTCAGCCTTGCGGCGACTCAAGGCAGCTCACAGAAATAGCAATTTTAGTGCCATGCATTCATAAATATATAGTTAAAAACATTCAACTTAACATTTAAAAAGTATATATAAACCATTTTAAAACATATAATCACCGATGTTGTCCTGTTAATACTTTAGGATGTTCAAATCCTGGGAGAAGACTATGTATTCTTTCACAGATTATTTCCCAGATTTCAGGAAAAAGTTTTTTGACCTGGAAACCAATAATAGAGAATCTTCTGTAATCTTCATCAACTTCTGAGTTTCATGTGCATAACTAAGTAATGGCTCAAACTCCTCCCCTATCCATCTTAAGACCCAGCAGCTGTATGAGGTAAAGGAGGTCTATTCAATTTCTGTTTGGAATGCAAAATAATAATAATAATAATAATAATAATAATAATAATAATAATAATAATATAAATAACTATTTGTAACTCACCCTATCTCCCCAGGGGGACTCAAGGTGGTTTCCCGACAAAAGTGGCAAACATTAAATGCCATAACAATAAAACAAGTTAAATACATAATCAAACAATACATAAAATCAACTTCAATATGAATATATATAATTAACAAAAATAATTAAATAATTAAAACAAATAGGCCTCATCATCCACAGCTGCATCATAACACGATCACAGTAATTAAAGTGCCATGAAAGTACATAACGATGATGAAGATGTTATGTAAAAAATGATGTACAACAGTCACAGGGCCAAGGTGGATTTCTAGTATCCAACGAGTTTACATGTTGAGATGTTCTCCTCCTCCTCTCCATATGCTAAAGTGCAGACATGAGTTTTAAGAGTTTTTTAAGGAGAGGAGGGAGAGGGCCATTCTTACTTCTTTGGGGAGTGAGTTCCAGAGGCGGGGAGTGATCACGGAGAAGGCCCCCTCTCTCGTCCCCACCAGCCATGCTTGAGATGGAGGTGGGACTGAGAGCAGGGCCTCCTCCATCTTGGGATAAACTACTTTAAGTAAATGAGCCTGGAGACTGGGAACATTTGTTCTAGAACCACTATAAGCAGAATCTAGATCACAAACCTCTCCAGAAGACCAGATTATCTGCTGTAAATGAATATGGTGTTTTGATTCCCGACAATAACTACAACTTGAAGTTATCACAAATGGAACAAGGAAAGCATGGAAGGGAAGCACAATTGGGCTGAATGCACAATCAGAAATACCCTCCCTTTAATTCCTTGTATATGTCAACACTCTTCAGTCATTATGTTTTGCTTAGTTTTAATAAGTGTACGTCATGGATCTAATACACCAAATATGGACAATGTATGGGAGTCACAATTCACCAACATCTAGATCAGTGGTTCTCAACCTGTGGGTCACCAAATGTTTTGGCCTTCAATTCTCAGAAATCCTAAGAGCTGATGAACTGGCTGAGATTTGTGGGTATTGTAGGCCAAAACACCTGGGGACCCACAGGTTGAGAATCCCTGATATAAAAGCTTGTCTGCTTTATATCACTGGAATAAACTCCAAAATCTTTCTAAATGGTGGCCTTCTAATCTTCTGCAACCAATAACCTTGCCCATAAACATGTGTTTCAGAAAGAAGAGCTTATAAAAAATTCCAGGATTATTTTGGACTCTGAATTGTGGGAATGTCAAAGAAGAAAAGGGAAGTGTGTAGTTGGAGCAAGATATTATTTAGGTCGGAATTCCTGAAATGAATACCTGGTTGTCAGAGAAATATAGATCACAGTGATTTCTAACATGAGATGTATGGTATAGGATGTCTTTGTTTAAGAAGAGCGGGAGGAAGCCTCTGAAATTTCAGTTTTTCCTTCATCTTTTGCTGAATTCAGAAGCAGCACCTAGGTTACATAATCATAAAAAGAAAAACACAGAGACCTTCAATTGATTTCCAAGGTGTTTGACACATTATGTGCATTTGCATTTCATTGACTTCAAGTAGAAACATCTTAATTGCAACTACCCAGAGAAGAAGGAAATCCACTACAGGGAAGTCTTGAAGGAATGACATTATTTTTATGTGAGATAGAAGGAAACTATGACAAAAAATAGCAACCTTTCAGTAGATGAGCATGCAAGCAATGACACCATTATACGAGCCAGAAGGGTGGTGTCACACTAAATTAATGCTTCAGTGCAGATGCACTCTCAGTTTTATCACTTATACATTTATGGTCCACTTTTGCCATAAACTGGGGGGGGGGGGGCTCTCAGCCTCTCCAAGTCTAGTCTTAAGGTGCTGTAACCTATCCCTGCCCTTTTTCTAGAGTCCATGGACTTGAGAATGTGCATTGTATAGTATTATGTATTCTCAATTCTACTGTATGGAATGGAAACTTGAACACATTTTGTTGTTGTTTATTCATTCAGCCCATGCCAGAGCTCCCTGTCAGCCATCACCACCCCCAGCTCCTTCAGAGTCAAGCCAGTCACTTCAAGGATACCATCCATCCATCTTGCCCTTGGCTGGCCCCTCTTCCTTTTTCCTTCAATTTTTGCCAGCATCACTATCTTCTCCAAGCTTTCCTCTCTTTTCATGATGTGGCCAAAGTACTTCATCTTTGCCTCTAATATCCTTCCCTCCAGTGAGCAGTCAGGCTTTATTTCCTGAAGTATGGACTGGTTGGATCTTCTTGCAGTCCAAGGCACTCTCAGAATTTTCTTACAACACCACAGTTCAAAAGGATCCTTTAGTTGGCCTTCCTTATGGTCCGGCTCTCACATCCATAGGTTACTATGGGAATACCATTGCTTTAACTATGCAGATCTTTGTTGCCAGTGTGATGTGAATACTCTTCACTATTTTATTGAGATCGGTCATTGCTCTCCACCCAAGAAGTAAACGTCTTCTGATCTCCTGGATTCAGCCTGCTTCTGCAGTAATCTTTACACCTAGAAATACAAAGTCTGTCACTGCCTTCATATTTTGCCAGTTATCAATCAGTCTGGCTGCCATAATCTTGGGGTTTCTTATGTTTAACTGCAATCCAGCTTTGGACACATTTACACATTATAAAGTATACAAACATTTGAAATGTAGATTTATCTCGGGATGCTTAGAATTTTCTGTACCAAGAGAGTGATCAGCCAACAAGTATTGAATTGAATAACAGTTAATATTATAGCAAACTAAAAATTTAAAAAGCTCAAGGAAGAAAACTGGAAAAGATGTATAGGGAATAAGCTTAGAGTCTGGTTTAGACATAATGAAAAATCTTTTCTTAAAGTGGCTAGACTGAAAAACAATTTAGCTATCCTTCTCTGGTAGAAAAGGAAAGAGAATAACAGTTGTTTTGAGGCAAAAGGCAAGATACAGCAACACTCTCGACCCCCATTTACCCTGGATCTGAGGATTGTTGGGAATAAATAAAGACACTTGTATGAACCAATGGCACACATTTGTTAAGGACCGTCATTCATCTAAGTAGCATTCACTATTGTCCATGGTTTCTTGCTTTGATGATATGTTCAGGAACATATCACAATGATGATAAATGGATGTCAAAGAAAAATGAAAGCAAAGAAAAGGTCACAAATACATTTCTTCTGTCTTAACATCTCCTGAAATGTCAGTCCATAGGTTTCAGAGGCCAAGGTTCCTCGGATACCTGTACACCTGTGGTTCTGGGGTAAAACCACTCACAGACTGAGAATTTTAAAAGCCTCTTTTGTGCTTTCTGAAGCAAGCAGAATAAACAAAAGAGCTACCATTGAAAACATCCCCTGTAGCTTGGAAGAGATGAGAATAAATTGTCAAATAACTATTCAGTTTACTGCCTTATCTCTAGAATGCTATGTGTGGGGTAAAAAATACATCCCAATAGTGGAATGCTGTCTGATATTCTCTTCTATTGCCCTTGTAAAGGCAGGACCTTCTGCCAACTTTTGATTAAGTGACAGAGACCTGCATGGAATTCTATTCAGATAATTGTGAAATATTCTACACAGGGCTGCCTTTGGAATGTGTTTAGAATCCATCTATTCCAAAATGAAATTGGCATTTTGCTGATGAGGACTGGTTATAGGGGAAAACATGATCCTCGTCATCAGCTGTGAGCCCCTTTCAAAGTACCGATTATGGCCTACATTACACAGCTTGGGTTTGGGTGGTCTGAAAGATGGTGTTCTTCCCTATGAGCCTGTCTAGGCCCTGAGATACTAGAGGAAGCCCTTCCCTCAATCCATCCATGTTTCATAGCCATTTTTGGTGGGGACCAAGAAGCAAAGCTTGATTTTGTTGTGGTTAATACAGAAGCTTGTCCATCAAAAACACAATAGCAACACACAAAGGATGAAATATAAATTTACTCTTGTTCAGTAGAGTTCAAAACAGTAAAATAAGCTTGTGGCGTTGCATTAAAATATCCATGTGGGGGTCCTGGACCCAAATCCCAGCGGATACCAAGGGTCCACTGTAGACATATTGCATACAAGCTGAGCAAATGATGAGCTATTTACAATTTTCCCCAATGAGCCTGGATACTAAATAAAACTTGCAATTATCAGAAAAAAACCAGTGTTTTGAAAAAAGATGTTCCTGCTGCTCTTTCAGGAGAAGGAAAAACAACAAAGAACAGAGAGATATACAATGGACATGACTGCAAGAAATTGGAATGATTCAACTCAATTTCTGAAGCTAATTGTGTAAAAAGCAGTTAGAAAAAAACAACATGGTCTTTTTCTGGTACCAGACATAAAGAGTCTAGTGCCTAAAGAGTCCATTTTCCAGAATTAATTGTGTTATTTATAGCCATTTTTTCACTGGCTCCCAGTCAATTTCCTAGCACAATTCAAAGTGCTGGTCTTGACCTATAAAGCCCTATACTGTTCCAGCTCAGTTTACTTATCCGAATGTATCTCCCTCTATGATCCACCTTGGAGTTTATTATCATCAGGGGAGGCCCTGCTCTCAATCTCGCCACCCTCGCAAGTGTGATTGTCAGGGACGAGAGACAGGGCCTTCTTGGTGATCATCCTCCATTTATGGAACACACTCCCCAGTGATTTATATCCCGAAATAAATAAATAAATAAATATTTTTTTGCATAAGTTCTCTCTCTAATCCATTTAGTTTTCATGGCAAGAGTACTGGAGTGGGTTGCCATTACCTTCCCCAGGGATCTGACCTCTCTGCCATGACCTTCCCATCTTGGGTGTCCTTTCATGATTTCACTCGTGGCATCATTGAGGTGCTCAAGCTCCAGCGCCATGACAAGGCAGCGATCCTTTGCTGGAGAATAATGAGAAGACAGGAAAGCTTAGAGAAGACAATGATGCTGGAGAAAATGGAAGGGAAAAGGAAGAGGGGCTGACCAAGGGCAAGATAGATGGATGGTATCCTTGAAGTGACTGGCTTGACTCTGAAGGAGCTGGGGGTGGTGACAGCTGGCAGGGAGGTCAAGCGTGGGCTGGTCCATGAGGTCATGAAGAGTCGGAAGTGACTGAACGAATAAACAACAACAACAATGGCCCCTACCATTGAGAATATAAATCATTTATTCCATAGATGCTTCCATTTCTCTAATTCTATGTTTTCCCCCCAAGATCTCTGGCCCAAGAAATCATAACAGGTTTTATTCTATTGTCTTTTAGATTGTATTCTAGAATGTATTTATTTAATTTGGAGATTGGGCTCTTATTTCCCTTATTGAAAATGCACTCCAACTTAGATTTCTTTTCATCAAACCCTACTTTAGCATCTTTTGTAAATCTATCGTGTGGTTCATAAAACTGAAACCAATAATAAATACCTAGTTCTTTTCTTCCTTCTAGGATCCAATGATCCTTTCCTTTAAATAGATATTCCCTATAAGATCTTATTTCATCTTTAGATGTTGGCCTTAGGACCATTTCTAATGGACGTAAGCATAAAGGGGTTTTGGTACCATCCCGCCTTATCTAAATATCATATAAGGATCTTTCACATTACTGCTACCTTATAAGTATAACTGGAGATGCTATGAGTTTAAGTCTATTTACTTCTGTATACAATGAGCTACGTCTACCAATGAGTTGCATCTCTTTTCCCGGATAAAATATCTCTCTCATTTTGTACTGGCATTGTTATAAATTGGAGGTAAAGAAAGGGAGGCTTCGGCAATATACTTGGAATGTTTTTATGGGCCGGGAGCTGAAACAAGAGGCCAGGAGGCCAAGATGCTTTTCACAACCCTACCATTGACTGGTTGTTATATGGAGATTAAAATATTAAGCTGCCAGAAACACTGCAGCTGCTAATATTTTGTAAAGTGCATTGGAGGAAAGTCACAAAAGGATATTGTTATCTGTTAAAAGAGCTGGGCACCTAACATGCTCTTGGAACCTTATTTCTACACATATCTCTACCAACTTCAATCTGGCACAATGGCTGTCGAGGGAAGATGTTCAATCCTAGGTTTGTGTCACATCACAAAGATAGGTTAGCAATTTGCTCATCATCATCCTTACGAGAGGCCTAGAGGATTATTGCCTTAATTACACAAATTGCAATCTGCAAGTTAGTGTTCTTCTAAACATAATAATGCCAACCTTCATATTATTTGTTAGCAAAAACTGCTTCTCATATTATGGAAGTCCTACGGAAAAGGTACATCCATATAAAAAATAATGGTAATATGACAATTCACTCACAGAATTTTCATATATCCATCTAAACCAGAAATGGACAGCTCATCAAGACCTTTAATTCATCTAGGCTACTTTTGTAACCTGGATGCAGTTGAAAGCATGCCAGCTGAAATATCTAGTTAGATGAAAGCATGAATTATAAACTTATGTCATGTATTTTGGTCTCTGTCCTGTGTGATTAATGTGTATTTTACAGAAAAGTTTTGATCATTATCTTTTATGAACTGAATTTTAACTTATGTTTGTAGAATTTTTATATAGTATTTGTGTTGTTGTGGGTTTTCCGGGCTGTATGGCCATGTTCCAGAAGCATTCTCTCTATAACATGCATCCTCAGAGGTTGTGAGGTATGTTGGAAACCAGGCAAGTGAGGTTTATATATCTGTGGGATGTCCAGGGTGGGAGAAAAAAAATCTTGTCTACTGAAGGCAAGTGTGAATGTTGCAGTTGGCCACCTTGATTAGCACTGAATGGCCTTACAGCTTCAAAGCCTGGCTGCTTCCTGCCTGGGGGAATCCTTTGTTACGAGGTGTTAGCTGGCCGTGATTGTTTCCTGTCTGGCATTCCCCTGTTTTCTGAGTCCTCTTTATTTACTGCCTTATTTTAGAGTTTTTAATACTATTAGACAAATTTTGTTCATTTTCATGGTTTCCTCCTTTCTGTTGAAATTGTCCACATATGTTTTTAACTATGCTGTGACCTGCCTTAAGCTGTGGGGAGAGGTGGGTAAAAAATAAAAGTATTATTATTATTATTATTATTATTATTATTATTATTATTATGTGATCCCGCTACAACAGCCTCTATTTCTGGCAACCAGCAGAACTGCGCTGTCAAAAATCAACTCCATCAAAGGTAACCCAATAATCTCTTTTCTTCTCTTACCTTTTGAAATCTGTTCTGCAGATTGGCAGGCCTCTGTGGTCCAGAAGGATGCTCTGACATTCTCCTATACCATAGATAACTGCTATATTTGCTCTTTAATTTTAGTTGATACTGCAGCAATAATGCAATTCTCCAATTTGCAGTTATGGCAGGAATCACGGATGCTGTGTAGTCCCTAGTTGATTGCAAGCGGACAATGTAGCCGATGGCCCACGGATGTCACCCAACTATGTACGTTATTATTGGCTGGAATCCTGTTATCAGTACTTATTAAGGCCTTCATAACATAAGGCTGATAAAGCACAATTATGCAGGTTAAAAGTGTCTTTGGATGGTACTTATGTCTTAGTCACATTGTGTCTGAATTGTGATTGGAATGTCTTTTTCCCCTTGGATTGAGTACCAATGTTCTTCCACCATGTTTCCTTGTGTAATAACATCATTCCACTGCAGTCCCAATATTTTGAAGTAGATGGAAGTTTTGCACAAACACTATGACTGTGCAGTTGGGCCGCAATTGGGACCCAACTAGAAAAGCACAAGACACATGAGCTGGAGAAGTCAAACACCAATTGGAAGTGATGGTGTGTGGAAACTGATCGTGGGAATTCACATCAACAAAGTGGCAGTGTTGTGCAATTGTGGCAAGGTATGGAATTGATGATTCCAGTAACACCATTTTTCTGTTTGCTTAAACATGATTGTGACTCGAAAATAGGCTGGTATGATGAAGGCCAATGTCTATTTAACTAAGTAGCTTCTCCTGACCTGACACCCCTACCAATTTCATTCCCCTGTGACTAAGTAGCAATTATGAATATACAGCAGTTATGGCTGAGTAAATGTTGGTAATGGTTTCATACTATTTCATAATAATGAAACAAGTTTGTAAGAATGGAAATGCCTCTTTTGTAGGAATTTTGTAACTGGTGAAGCATTTGAAAGGATTTGTTCATTGATTGATGTCAAACCATTGCCAGGTGAATCAGCTTGCATATGTGAATGGACCAAGAGAGATCCAACAGACAGAACTTCCTCATCTCATCTTCAGTGAAATCATTTCACATCTTCAGCTGCCTGTACACGAGTGCTTAGTAATCAAATGAGCCAGTCTCAAATCCCCCATTATTTTAATTGGAAATTAGTTTAATTATAAAGAGGCCTGGCATTCTGACCCAAGGGATTGTCTGAACAGATAAATAGACAACACTTGACTGTAGTTTCATAACATTAAGATTATATCTCCTTCAGACTTGGACTTGTTGCATAGATTGCCATAGCTCACAATGCAGATCACTGGAAAAAATGTCCACTTCAACATGAATGTGGATGAGAGATTGTTGAAATACTGATCTCACAAGGGGAAAAAAGAACCACTACAAATTAGCACATCAGAGATACGGTAGGACCAAACCATTCTGGCTTTTGTTAGATAAAGAATTTTAATAGCGCCCTGGTGGCGCAGTGGGTTAAACCACAGAGCTGCTGAACTTGCTGACCGAAAGGTCAGCGGTTCGAATCCAGGGAATGGGGTGAGCTCTCACTGTTAGTCCCAGCTTCTGTGAGCCTAACAGTTTGAAAACATGCACATGTGAGTAGATCAATATGTACCATTCCAATGGGAGGGTAATGGAGCTGCATGCAGTCATGCCAGCCACATGACCTTGGAGGTGTCTATGGACAACGCCTGCTTTTTGGCTTAGAAATGGAGATAAGCACCACCCTCCAGAGTCGGACATGACTAAACTTAATGCCAAATGGAAACCTTTACCTATCTTTACCATTAGACAGAATAAAACAACTGGCTCAAGTGGAAGATGCTGAATGGTAACCCTTGATGGTTCTCTTGTGCAACTTGGCCTTTCAGTTACCGTATATTCCGGGGTATAACACGACTTTTTAGCACTAGAAAATCATTTCAGAAGTCGGGGGTGGTCTTATACGCCGGGTACAGTTTGGCGGGGGTGGAGGAGAGCACCCCCCAAGTCYGCAGGGACAGCAGCGGCGTACCRGCAGCCCTGCACTACCTCAACAGAAAATAGAACGCCAGCYTACCTCAGCAAACTTCCTCCAGGCTGTTGCTGGGCTCCTGTTTGGCCACTGCTGTTCCTGTGTGTCCTGGGGCGCCTCTCCTCCGCCCCGCCAACCTGCCAGTGTGTAAGCCGACTCGGGAGGGCCTTCTATCGCCCTCCTTCCCTGGGGTGCTGCTGGGCTGCAACTGTTCCTGCAGGCCCGGAGGGGCCTTTCCTCCACGTGTTATACCCCGGAATATACGGTAAATTTTAAGCAACTGTCACTTATACATGCTATAATAAGCAGGTAACATTATACAGTAAATGCCAGAATACACAAACTGTGTCATGGTAAGGAATTTCATGAAGAGAAAAAAAAATACATAGAACTACTTTAAAATAGTCTCAGAGAAGGGTYRASTACAGGCCTCTCTCCTTGTCTTCCTCCCTTTGCGGGGCAGGAGGCGGAGGAGGAGGCAGAAGACGGGTGGTCTTATACGGTGAGCATATCCCAAACTCTATATTTTAACTGGAAAAGTTGGGGGTCGTCTTATACGCCCAGTCGTCTTATACCCCGGAATATACGGTATGTATGAGGATACAACTATGTACCAAACAGCCTGCCCTGCATGCCCTAAATTGGGCTAGTGGGATCAAGAATGGTGGAAAATTTTATTCCAAAATGTATTTATATTATACAATTATACCAATTTGATGCCACTTTAACTATAATGACACCATCATATAATATCCTGGGATTTGACATTTCAAGAGTTACTAACTGGAGAGGACCAAAAACCTCATCAAGATAACAAATCCAAGATTACTGAAGGATGGATTCATGGTAAAGTATCAAACTGCTATCATCTCTGTGGTATTAATGCATCCTCTATGGAAGTCAATTTCAATTACCAGTCTAGTTCATACATTTTCTGGTGTGGATAAAATGCAAATGTATAATCAATTGGAGACTTCTGGATGCAGCATTCTGCAAAGGAAATATGTAAGACACTCCATGCATAGCTCTGATAAAGTGATCCAAAGGCAAAGCAAAGTCACATAGTTGATAGCACCACTTTAACTGTCAGCTCAGTGCTATGGAATAATGACACTTGTGGCTTTACAAGGTCTTTAGCCTTCTCTCAATATAGTGCTAGTGCCTCACCAAACGACAACTTCCAGAATTCCATAACATTGTATCATGGCAGTTAAAGTGCTGTCAAGCTGTGTTAATTCTAGAGTGTAGATGCACCCTCTGTGTTTATGGCTCCCCTAAAAGAGGGAGGGCAAAGCATACAAGATTTGGGTTGCTGTAGGTTTTTCAGGCTATATGGCCATGTTCTAAGATGCATTCTCTCCTGACATTTCGCTTGCATCTATGGCAGGCATCCTCAGAGGCTGTAGGTTTTTCGGGCCTTATAGCCTGAAAAACCTACAACAACCCAATGATTGCCATGAAGGCCATCGACAATACATGCAGGGTTTGCTCCTCTTACTACATGCTGCCATGGCTCAGGTGCTCCAGTGAATATACTTGAAAATGAATCATTCTGACACTTTCCTTTTTGATAATTTTTGTACAATTTTCAAGAGCATTTCATGCTTTAGGACTTTGTGGGGAGGGAGCAGAATTCTTTGGTGAAATATTCCACTTGGTTTTCCAATGAAGAAAACCATTTCTTGCATAGGAAATGTGTATTTTGTGCAAAATACACTGGTTCCTGTGCAAAAATAATTGTTTCTTTTTGCATAGAAAATGGAAGCAGAAAGACTACTCATGGCTTTTCTCCAGAGGAATCTACATGTTTGCACAAATGATGTACATTTGACACAATTTGCATAGAAGTTGCACAATTAAAATAAACATGTGGGTTCCTGCACAGAAAAACCTTTTGTGGTTTTCCTGTATGGATGTCTGCCAATAATAAGAGCCCCAACGTTTCTGAGCAGGAAGCCAGGAGCAGTGTATTTTTCCCCAAATATATATTTCCTGGAGGTCCAAAGTTTGCCTATGACTGGTCTATGGTGTCATTTCATTGAGGAAAAAATATTAACAAGCAATCTCCATATTCCTGCAAGCAGAGCATTCAGAACCAGATGAAAAAGCCCAGGACTCCATTGACTGGAACAAGGGGCCTAAGCAGATTCTTAGGCCCCTTCCACACAGCTGTATAAAATCCACATTGAACTGGATTATATGACAGTGTGGACTCAGGTAATCCAGTTCAAAGCAGATATTATGGATTATCTACCTTGATATTCTGGGTTATATGACTGCGTGGAATGGTCCTTAGTTAATCAGAACTCAAGCAACCAGAAGTCTCAAGCAAATGACCAAATTAAAAATCAAATAATATTTTAAATAAAAAGCTGCTTCAAAAATAGAGTAAAACAGTAAAACTGCATTATATTGAGTTTCTCTTTATTTCTATTTGCATTTAATTACGTATCTCAATGTTAATATCAAGTCAATGCAGAGTTTATGATATGATATATTATTGAGTATAGAACAGTAACTCTCAAACAACCAGAAACTATGGCCAGTTCCACACAGGGCTTTAACCTACACTCAACTGGGTTTCTTAAACCTGATTGGATGCGGGTTACAGTCTGCACACCTTCCCCTAAAACCTATGCTTTTTTTTTGGAGGGGTGTGTAGATGCCCCAGGAGAAGAGGGGCAAGGAGCAATTTTCCTCCTCACCCCACTTCTCCTGGCGCATCATTCCTATGCACCAGGAGAGTTCCACCACCAGAGTAATGGTGGCCAGGTGAGTATTTTTTTTTAAGGGCTGGGGGGGGGGGGCGGTTACAGCCCACTGTGTTTTCCAGGCTAACTCAGCCCAGAAAACACAGGAGGGCTATGTGGACTGCCCCCTCAGAAGTCCTATGACTTTCGAGGGGGCAGTCCCCACAGGGTGCATACTGGATTAGACCTGGGTCTTTCAGGAAAACCTAGGTCTAATCCAGCACCTAATTAATTCAGGACAAAGCAAGGTTTTCCTGCTTTGTCCCAAATTTACTCATTTTTACCTGAAGCATTGTTTAGATGCCTCAGGTAAAAGTCTGAGAGGGCCTGTGTTTTGGGCCCTGTGTGGATAGGCCCTATATTTATCTGACATCTACCAATCCCCATAGGTGCCAGTTAACTGAGAGTATAGTTAGCTGTGTGGTGTAGATGTTTGGAAAATATAAAAAGTCTACAAGGGAAATACAATGCAGAATTTAAGACTTCTACGACTGGCTGTTACCTCTTTGCTGAGACTTCGGTAGTTAGTTGGTTGGTTGAGCATGTTGTCCTTGCTGAAAGGTCTTCACTCACTAAATAAAAAATAAAACCATAAAATCATCCAATGCCAAAGTTGTTAAGCCCAGGTTAGTGGTTTGAATTTTGGACCAGGACTCTGGGAAACCAAAGTTCAAATCCCCACAAACTATGGAATCCCATTGGGTGACCTTGGGGAAATCTACTCTCAGCCTTAAAGCAAATATTGGCAAGAAAACCCTAAGATTGGACCACTATAAGTTTGAGTTGACAGGGAAGGCACACAACAATGGTCACCAACAACAATACAACAACATATGATAGCAATAAAACACTAAGCAATGCAAACTCCCTTCAGTGTAGAACAATTATACAAGTGCAGAGACATACAAGTACTGTACAACCTCCATGCAGAATAGCAACATTATGCACTACATGCCAATGACTGGGCACTGTTTTTATTGTGTGATGTGTAATATGCAACTGCAATGCCCGATGTGCAACTCAAAGCACAATGCACAGTGTACAGCGTTGGTGTATGTGCAATTACATTTTTACTGCTGTCAACAAAGTATGTTGCACTATATGTTAGTTGTGCATAGCATAATTTGCACATATGCATGTCACTAACTGAACACTAGCTTAAGGAAAATTAAAGAGACTAGATGACAAAAGTACACCTTAAGTCCTTGTCTAAAAACCAAGAAAAATAAGTAAAACCTGACTGGGGTTTGCATTTTAAAAAGTTCTTTGCCCTCTGTTTGAGATATGCAAAAAGTAGAATATATGTTCAAAGCAATAGTAATGAAAGTAGCAATCCTTTGTAAATTCTTAAAATAATGTACCAACAAGCGATACAAGGGAGGAAAAAAACCTGGCACAGTGCTTCTGTTATCTGGTTTGTACAGGTTCAGTTGTTCTCGGCATAGAATTTTAATTATTGCTTTGTTTCTTAGCAGAGGAGAACCTACATCTTTAACCCTACTTAAAGCAAACACGTTAAATCTTAGTATGGCAGGTTTAAGGACAGGACACTTGGCTTTGTTTCAAACCTCTTGGAACCGCTTCTCCTTCCAAGGCTCTCATTCTCTGTGAGACACATGAAAGACAGGCACAGAGTTCTTGTCGTACATCAAGTGGCCAATCCCTCCAAAGCAGGAGCCCTTAAGGTACAGACATGTCATTTCCCTGGCATGAATGCACTGCAAGTGGAAAAATGTGTACATATGCCTTCAAGTGCCTCATGCACCAGTGTTTTTCCACTGCACTCTCCTGTACTCTGAGTCAACACTTTAACTCAGGGAAGGGGGTGTTGGCTTCCCAAAGGGGATGTTGCCTCGGAGCTGCAGCCACAGAAGCAATTGTAAGGTAACTAAGGAGTGGTTGCACCAGAGAGGATATGCATAGACATATAGAGGAAAGGTCAGTTCCAGCATTGCCTTGGGTTAAACTATTTCATCCCCTTATCACATGGATCTTGGAAACATCTATTTCTGGGGGCGATAACTGCCAGAATCTACCAGCCAGCATGGTGAAAATATTAAACATGAAAAACATTTAAAAGTATTTAAATGATTATCTGAACAATAAAATATGAAATAATGCACTACATCATTTAAATCTCACCCCATTAACTTTCTAAATGCCTAGTGGTACAAGAATATTTTGCCCTGATGACAGAAAGAGAGCAAGAGAGTGCAACCCCTCTAACACAGCCTGAATCTCTGTTCCCAGATATGTCTTTCAACTGATCAGGAACACTTCTGTTTCATCTGGATTAAACTTCACTGTTTTCACCCTCATCCATCCCATCACAGCTACCAGATGCTGCTTTAGCAAAGGAATAGTTTGTGCAGTGCCCTGTTCTCGCATCAGCAGAGGCAGTGTGTGACCAGGAAAAAGGAAGGGTGGTCACATAGAGCTCCTTCCTGCCAATGTCGGGAAGGTGCTCCCACATGATGACGAAGAAGCGGGGGAATCTCCCACTTTCTTTGTGTTGGTCTCATAGTCACACTGTTCTGATGTCAGCAGAGGTGCTGCAACAACCAGATGCTCTCATGGAGCTTCATGGCCAACATCTCAAACCCCCCCCCCTTCCACACAGCTATATAAAATCCACATTGAACTAGATTATATGGCAGTGTGGACTCAGATAATCCAGTTCAAAAGCAGATATTGTGGATTATCTGCCTTGATATTCTGGGTTACTTTGGCAAGTGACTATATATTCCATTTTTTAGTGTGTCCCAACTACATCTCTGTCCTCATGATGCACTTTCCCCCTGCCCTTAATGAAAGTCTAACCCATTGTTCGGCTCAGAAACACATTCTCCCTCAGAAACACATTCTACTTATCTTTTCCAGGGTTTTTATCAATTTTATCGATTTTATTTCTAGTACATTTGGCCCACCCACTGTGTTCTATTTCTCTATCATGTCATTTTGAAACTGTTTATTTTATTTTGTTATTTTATGTATTTATTTTGATGGTAGTTTGCTTTTTTGTATTTTATTTTGCTGTAATTTTGGGCTTGGCCTCATGTGAGCTGCCCTGAGTCCCCTTTGGGGAGATGGTGGCAGGGTATAAATAATGATGATGATGATGATGATGATGATTATTATTATTATTATTATATGGCTGTGTGGAAGAGCCCATAGATACTGTCCATCCCACTCCCTACACTGATATGTAGTGGTATCCCATCTAGACAGCTTATCAGGCCCATCTAGGTGTCCAAAATACCTTGAAGCAAACCAGAGTTTCCACTAACTTTGCCTGAAGTGGGGCAAAGCCAGTTTAAACATGAAAACTGTGGAATAATCACTGGAGGTTGCTGTACATTGTGAAGACAAGCAACCTTCCATTTGGTTTCTGGCTTGTGTAGACAAGCCCTAATTCTGAATCCAACATGTGTTCAAGAAAGCAATACAGATATAAGACAATAAGACAGCAGAATGGTAATTTTGATTTTTGGTCTTGCTATCTTCACAATTTACTAATATAAAGCATATTCAGTTAACTGAATGAATTAGAGTGAGGGAGGGATGGGTGTGAACAGCAACAGCCAGCAATGTTTTTGACCGGAGTCTGAGTTACAGATGTGAAAATCTGTGAATCTGAATATTGTTGAAAGTTTGTTTAATCACAACATTATCTTCTCTTCCCCCCACCCCAACTCGGATTTTATTTGGCTTTCAAAAAATATTCGATTGAAGGCAATATAATGTTATGATATTGAGAAATTAGACCTCCAATTTATCAAATGTATTGAAACATATAAAAATATGTGAATTCTGAGATGTGGCTCCCTGGGGACTTGTAGTGAATGCGCTCTTGCCTTATAGTATGCTTTTGTATGAATTCCCTTTGGAATGTTGCTTAACACACCCAGACCCCAGGAAACAAATTTCCATAATCCCCTCACAATGAATTGAGAGACATGAAGGGAAAATCAGATGTATTTAAATCAGAGCTCTGGCTCCATTTCCTGTTTTCCTCCTAATATAATCTGGACAATTGGTGGAAGTGATCCATCTCCCATGCCCCAAGCCAGCCTCACCCAATGAAATAATTGTCTTCAAGCACCCATTGTATACTTTGGACTAAACCCATTGTGTTCACCACAGCCAGACCATTAAATTCATCATGGACTCATCATTACCAAAAACCATACCTCATTCCTTTCAGATCATACCTTTCTCAGAGGGTGAGCATTAAACAGACTGACATGTTAAATGCTCCAATGATAGATTATTGAATTTTCCACCCCAAGAAGACTCCATGATGTCCCATGGAGTCTTGAGCCACACAGGTTGCAGATCATAGCCAGACATATTTTTGACCAATTAGAAGCTGGTATGGGTTTCTTGAATAGTTGTCAAACGAAATAAAAATGCTCTGTGTTCATAATTGTGGTATGTCAGTACTTTGAATTGTTTTCTCCACTGACATCTTCTTTGGCCACTGACAATAAATCTCTGCTTTTGTCTTCTACATGACAGTGTCTGATTTGGCCTTCTGGAAATCTAGACATGCCAGAGGGTTGAATTCATAGTTTTAGTGAAGCCAAAATCACTGAACACTTACTGTAACTTCTATCATCCCTGAACGAAGTGATTGTGCTGGCTGGAGATGCTAAGTTGGAAATCAAAAGTGGCACTCCGAAGTTTTATGATAGTTTCAAGATAGTAAGGATCAAACCTGAGACTCTTCAGACTTATCATCTTTCATAAATCTTCATAAATTTTCAGAGCCTCATAGAGCTGGAAAAGGCCACAAGGGCCATCCAATCCAACCCCAATAGATGGCAAATCTCTGCTCTCCCAAAGCAATCTCTGTTCTCCCAAAGCAATCTCTGCTCTCCCAAAGCCCTCCCAATAGATGGCCAATCTCTGTTAAACACTCTCCAAAGGAGAATGCACTATATTCCAAGGCAGCCTACCCCACTATTATCTCATACCATCAAGAAGTTGTCAAACGTTTAGGTGGAATTTCTTTTCTTATACAGTAGTTTGAATCCATTGCTCCATGTTCTAGTCCCTGAACCAGCAGAAAAAGAACTGGCTGCATCTTCAATATGGCATTTTTTCAAATATTTAAACATGACTATCATATCACTTTGTAATCTTCTCTTCTCCAGGCTGAACACACCCAACTCCTTCAGCCTCTCCTCATAAGGCATGTTTTTCAAATGTTTTCCATCTATTCTGCCACTAAGTTGCCATTCTGCCTTGAGAGTATCACAGTTATTTAGCATTGGCCTATTTTCATTCTCTGAATTAAGCAATATTTTGCCACCCCTCCACATTTAAAGAGTTTGGCTTACAAAAGCTAACTGGGTGTCCATGCACTTTTCCATGACTAGACTATTGGATTCAAGTTTAATTAAAATTTGTATGTGACCAACATACAAATTTTCATTTTTCCTATCTTCCAAATACATTGAAGGAGTAGGTATGGGTTTTGGGTTTTGCCTGTGTTATTAAGAAATGGACTTATTTTTATTTGTATTCTGGATGAGTTTAATAAAAGGCACCTCCATTATATGTGTATAACAT